TAAATTTTTTTTTTTTTTTTTACTTGAAAAAATATTTATTTTTCAATACAATTCAACACCAACTACCACTGAACCAAAACCTAACACCCCGCAAAAGGGAAAATTTCACAAATGCCCTGCTATGAAACAAAAAATTGAAATATTGTTGAGTCACAAAAAAAAATAAAATAATAATAATAATAAGTGTGTTACTTTTCATTAAAGCATAGTCACATACATCCTCCAAAAAACAAAGAAGGGAATTCAAAAACATCATCAATGCTATTCAATGTATAATTCAATCGTTGATTTTCAATCCTTACAAAAAATATCCCATATTTAATAACACTAAAATTGTTAAGAAATATATGATTATTTATTATTTATTAAGGGTAGAATAGTTCTTTTTAGTTTCTTTTGTTTAGCCTATATATACTCTCTTTGTATTTAGGTTAAACCATCTTTTAGCATTCAATTAATTACGTGGTATCAATGAAACCCTAGCCTCCTCCATTTTCTTCTTTATTTTCTTTGGATTGTTTAACATAACTGAACCACTCCAAAGCAAAAGCACAAGATGAAGATGCTTAATCAATCTGGTGTTACACGGTATAAGACAACAATAGATGATACAAAATTTTACCTTCTTTTTTTCCGTTAATCCTCTTTGGCGCGGACTAGTCCACAATACAAAGCACGTTAACCATGTTCTACACCAATACTTGTTACTCCAAGAAGAACAGATCTGAGAAATGATCACATGGCTGACAAAATAAAGAATGAGAGCAAAGAAAACCCAAGTTTGAAACCTTAAAAATCGAAAACTACAGAGCTTACAACATAGGTAAGTGAAAAACATCTTTTGGACAGTGATTTTACTCGCAGCAGTTGGGCTTGTGCTCTTTCTGCAACTTCTCCCACATACAAAGCATCATTCTTGGATTTTGATAATGAGCAAGAACATAATTTGATTCACATCCCGCAATAAAAAACCGGTCATTGTTGACATATTCCACTTTGTGGCCATGATTTTCAAAATGCTCAATCCATATTCCCACAGCAACGTCTTCTAGTTTGAAAAGCTAAGACAGTGTATAAATAGAAAGAATGACCCCATGAGATTCAGAAATGCCATCAACAGCATCAAAAAGTAATTTTAGCTTTTTTAGGAAGAAGTTGCATCACAAGAGTCAAAAACTTCATCGGCAATAATACTTAGAACAAACATAAGATTTTATGAATTGAAGATCACAAACAGATTAATTTGTAAGTATACTAGATCTTACCATGAGCTCCCTCCGTTGGTGGCCTTGAACTATGAATTTTGCTATATCTTGGGATATTATGTAACCTGGACCGTGGGCCCAAGGCGGATAAGAAGAATGTGCCCATTCCTGTCAAAGA